AAAAATTATAGGACCTGGTGTAAAGATTGGCTTATACAAAACAGATTAGCTTATACAGAACAGTCTCAGCTCATTCTAATATAAATTTGTTAAAGGAATTAACGACGTTTACAAGAGACTGGCATAGTTTTTTTTAAGAATGGATAGTGATACGTACTTTCTTGCTGTCTATGGTAACTCTAAATAAATAAATAAATAAAAAGTATTTATTTGCCACACAAAAATACTATGTTAAACTTTTAATAAATTAGTTAAGAGTTGTAACGGGAAACCCATTACTCCTGCTATTCTGCCATACCCTTTGCGCATAATTTATACAGGGTCTTAGGCAATTGATGAAACACACATATCAACAATAAAAATAGAAATATAAATAAAACAATTAATAAATTATACTTTCTAAATACAAAAAAAGTTGTCTAATTTGAGGGGGTATCAAAGCCACATAAAGCCAGGGACTGTTTTTGAATAAGCCCCTTGCGGCATCTTTGTCGGAAGGTAGACGGAAATAGGGTAGATCGGACTGGTGGTGGCAAATCGTTCCAAATTTTAGCAGCGGCAAATTTAAAACACCCCCTGGCTCCAGCGAGACTAATCCTGGGTAGTGGAAGCCGATGACTATTTTCTCTGACTGAAAGCAAACTTTTTTTTCAACAGATATCTTGGAGACTTTGCGTGATGCAGAGTGTGCAGAAAGCAGGCATATTTTAATTTAGTACTATTGCACATATTTAAAATGCCAATACTGACTAAATAAAGTGAAATCCTCTCCCTTTTCGGTATATTAAAACAAAAACGCATAGATGCGTTCTGCACTCTCTGCACATTCTTCACAGTTTTTTTTAAATGAGCATGGACCATAAACAATATCACAATAATGAAGGTGGCATAGTACTAAATTGTTACAAACCAGCAGTCTCATCAACTGGCGTTGTGTGAATGTATACTTGGCTGTCATCTGCATATTAGTGAATTAGTGAATTTTCGAGTGAGTTATAGCTTTAGTAACGTTGGCCGTGTAAATTGCGCATAATGTGGGACCAAGTATTGAACCCTGGATAACACCTTTATTAAGGGGGAGCGTGTTGGAGACATTTAGAACTCCTTGGCTATTCAAACATTGCAATTTTTGGCAGCGATTATGGAAATAAGATTGAAACCAGGTGCAAGCCGATTCTGTGAAACCATAGTATTATAATTTTGCCAATAGAACAGATATATCAACACAATCGAAAGCGCGGCTCAAGTCTAGCAAAACCATAATTGTTCCCTTACCCTCATTGGACGCAGCAGTAATATCATCAGTAATGTTTAAAAGAGCTGATACTGAACTGTGATTCTTTCTAAAGCCAGATTGTATCACAGGTAGTACTTGATTACGTTCTAGATATTTGATAAAGAACGCATCTTTCAACTATTTTAGATAGTGCGGGAAGAATTCTTATTGGTCTTATATCAGAAAGATTATCCACCATTAATTTTTTAGGAATGGAAGTGACGATGGCACATTTCCAAGATTCTGGAAATACTCCTTCCAATATAGATTTATTGACTATCGCCACTATCGTTGACAAAGAATATGGAAGCGTAAGTTTTAACATCAACATGGAGATGCCATCAGTTCCGGTCGCTGTAGAAGCAATTATACTTTTCAATAACGTTTCATTTACGGATACAAATTGAAATTCGATTTAAAGAGTGTTTAAGTGATTCGATTTCTTGAATAACACTTTTGTCGGGAGGTACACATGATATGGTGTTTATAAAGTGATTATTAAGTGAATCAGGGTCAAGAAATGGTCCGGTATGGAACGGTTTTTTACGGTAGATGAAATTATTCGTTTTATGTGACGCCACATCTGAGAAGGATTTGAGCTATTATTGTTGACAAACTTAGTAAAATGTGCCTGCTTTTCTAGAGTAACTGCTCGGTTATAATAATTGCGCAGATCGCGGTAAAATTGCATACTCCTTTCCGATTTTATAGTTTTGGCCCGGTGACAAGCCTTGTCACGAATTGACTTCATTTTTCTAAGAGTATCAGTCATCCATGGGGCAGGCGGTAGTTTAAAAATGCTTTTACGAACAGGGGTGAATGAGTCCATCAAGCCAATGACGAGATTGTTAAAGGTATTTACCATATTATCGATACTAGCTTGTACTTGTACCAGTTCCCATGGCGTGTGTTTAGCAGCTTTGTTTATAGCAATTGTGTTCTCAGCTAAAGGTCTGTTTGAAATTATACATTTAGATTTTTGAATCGCGAACGGAAATTTTGCTGAAATCAGTCCATGATCGCTAAGATCATCATTATGTGTCACCTTCACAGAAATGGGCTTAAGATGTGTCCTAGTAAAGATAACATCAATCAGGGTACTCGTAGTAGAAGTGATTCGTGTAGGCTGGTTCACGATTTGATGGAGGTTAAATGTATCAGTAAGGGTCTTGAGACAATTAGGCGTATATGGAAGGCCGTCGTTGTTTAGACAATCAATGTTCAGGTCACCAACAAGAAATAATTGATCATATTGCGCTATAAAAAAGGAGAGAGACTCGTGCAAACAGTCTATAGCTGAACCAACACTCACTGATGCAGGACGATATGCCAAACCAAATACTGTTCAAGTTCCCCAGGGGGGTGATCTAAGCACTGCACGTAAGTTAGATTTTATACAAGCAGCAACACCACCACCACGACCAATACGAGGGTTGTGCAGCAGTCTGTAGCCAGAAATTGAATGTCTCGCTAAGACATAATATATCCTAAGATCCTTAATTTGGATACTTTGATTAAGTTCCTCCAAACCGATATTTAGCGAACGTGCATTCAAAACACCTAATGTAAAATACTTTCATTGTTTTCCTATACCCATAAAATAACATAAGCTTTTATCAAAGTAAATTTAAATCAGACCCGTCCAACTACCGGCCTATCGCCATCACCTCCTTGTTCTCCAAAACAATGGAGTCCATTGTAAACTGCCAGCTCATGAGGTACCTTGAGGATCACCAGCTGATTAGTGACCGCCAATACGGTTTTCGCCGTGGTAGGTCAGCTGGTGATCTTCTGGTCTACCTAACTCACAGATGGGCGGAGGCAGTAGAGTCCAAGGGGGAGGCATTGGCCGTTAGTTTGGACATTGCGAAGGCCTTCGATCGGGTTTGGCACAAAGCGCTTCTTTCGAAGCTCCCTTCCTATGGGCTTCCCGAGAAATTGTGCGATTGGATCACCAGTTTTCTTGCAGATCGGAGCATCAAGGTCGTTGTAGACGGTGCAAGCTCCGATTGCAAGCCTATTAATGCCGGTGTTCCACAGGGCTGCGTGCTATCGCCAACGCTGTTTCTTCTGCATATCAATGATATGTTGCAGACCCGTAACATTCATTGCTATGCAGATGACAGCACTGGTGATGCTCTTTACACCGGCCGAGCCAATATTTCTCGGGAAAACGTCTCCGAGTGCCGGGACAAACTTGTGTCTGAAGTCGAGTCTCTGCTGGACAGAGTCTCGGATTGGGGGCGACTAAATCTAGTCCAGTTTAACCCCCAGAAGACACAAGTTTGCGCGTTAACCGCTAAAAAGAACCCCTTTGTCGTATCCCCTCAGTTTCAAGGCACTCCCCTTGTTGCCTCAGCCAGTATCGGAATCCTCGGCGTCGACATATCGAGTGACGTGCAGTTTCGTGGTCACTTGGAAGGGAAGGCCAAATTGGCCTCTAAAAAGCGGCGTTCTCTAAAATTGGCGTGCTCAGCAGAGCGGGACAGTATTTCATGCCGGCACACCGCCTGCAACTTTACAAGGCGCAGGTTCGGCCGCACATGGAATACTGTTCCCATCTCTGGGCTGGGGCTCCCCAGTACCAGCTCCTTCCACTTGACCACATCCAGCGCAGAGCGGCTCGAATCGTCGACGACCGAGTGCTTTCCGATCGGCTCGATTCTCTGGCACTGCGAAGAGATGTTGCATCCCTTTGCATTTTCTTTCGCATATACCATGGAGAGTGCTCTGAGGAATTGTTCGGATTAATCCCAGCCGCCAAATTTCGTGTACGCACTACGCGGCAAACGTCCCGATACCATCCACACCATCTGGATGCTTGGCGGTCCACCACTGTACGTTTCAAAAGGAGTTTTCTTCCGCGTACAACCTCTCTGTGGAATAATTTACCACCAGCGATTTTTCCGGACCGATACGACCTGGGGACCTTCAAGAAAAGAGCTTACTCCTTTCTAAAGGGCCGGCAACGCGTCTGCAATTCCCCTGGTGTTGCAGTTGATCATGGGCGGCGGTAGTCACTTAACATCAGGTGAGCCACATGCTCGTTTGCCCCCTCTTCTATAAAAAAAAAAAAAAAAACCAAGTGAACACAAAAAGAAAATAAACAAATAAATGGAAGATACGACTAAACTATGTTAACAAAGCAATAATTGTTTTTGATGAGCACGGGAGGAGCACTTTCAACTTTGCGAGCGAACACATTTCCTCTCTTGAACCCAAATAAACTTAAAATTTTTCTCCTTGCCTACTCTTCTAGCCGCTCTGAATAATGCTTTACAATCAGGTGGTACATATTTAGGTGTTTTTAGTTTGCCATTTTGAGTTTTATTAAACTTATTAACGACTTCAAGGATACGATCACGAATACGCGGCGACGTCAGTGTCACTAATACGGAACGAGGCCTGCTCGAAGATTGATCCATCTTATCCACACGACGACAGGCATGTATGTCGTCGTGTGGATAAGATGTCCGCAACTGGCGAGTTAATAGTGTTGCAAAGGGTGTGAAATAATCCAAAGAGATCCTCGCTGGCCTTTTCCTGTATGCCGTTAATTTCCAAGTTATTGTCTCTAGAGATTTTTTCAATGAGTCGACCATGGAGGGTATAAACTTCTTTTTTAAGTTTTAAAGTCTGAGTCTGTAAATATTTAATTTCTTTGTCTTTTTGTTCTACCTTTACGTTCAAATCCGCCTGTTCAGCAGCTAAAAAGCAGCTTGCGTCAGCTTGTTTTTGAACTCATTGAACATATCTCCTGAGATATTATTGCTTTGATATCCGCCAGAATAGTTAATCGTAATTTGCGAAAAATTGGTGATGTGCCCGATAATTTATTATCAAGTAAGTCGCCGATTTCCTCTAAAGTTGCTGGTAGTGGGCTGACCTCCCGCCTGTTAGACTTGGCGCGCACTTTTACATTTAAATTACTTGCAAATTCTTCTGTCTCCTTCTCCATACAGCCTTCTGAATACATTGTGTTGCCGCGAATGGGAGTGTTCTGGTTAACACTCTTAGGTTGACGATTTTTACAAAGCTTTACGTTCTTTGTCCAACGAAATGAAAGTTTTTTCACTAATCGTGGCACAGTCCAAATCATATTTTAGTTTACATGAACTACAACACATAAACTGTCGATTAGTTATTTTATTCTGACAACCAGCACGTTTCCCAGTAGAACACATGACGGTTCTTTTAAAATAATTAAAAAATAAATCTAATGTAATTTTCTCTGCTTTTAAACGATGTAAATAAAAACATTAGATATTAGATATTCACATCGAAAATATTAAATGATGACGGAGCAAAGTAATATACGTATACGTTCACAAGATACCCGCGAAAAAAGTTGGTAATAATCTAAAAGCAAGACAATGGCAAAAACTGAGTGCTCGGCACACACGTTACGATTATCGGCACAGTTTCTTCCGATTCCGTTTTATTTATTCAAGTTTTCATACTACTCTGTTCGATGGTACAGTTTTAAAAAAATCGTAAAAAAACTGTACAGTTTTTATTACAGTGTTACAGTTATTACAGTTTATTACGGTACAGTGCGATCGTATCGATCGTGACGTTGTTGATAAGTGAGGGAAGTGTGACTATATTTAAGAATGAGAATGAGTGGTTAGCGAGTGTGAATAGCTTTACAGGTGAAAAAGAAAATCTTGTGGAGCATGTCAAGAATCCACTAATTAAACAGAAGGTTTACAGTTGTGTGGATAACTACAATCCAGTCCAGGTTAAAGAGGCCCCCATGGAACTTAAGATTGTGCTGAAGGATGACATACCAGTAGCACAGCGGCCTAGGCGCTTGTCACACATGGAACAAGGTATTGTGGAGAAACAAATCACAGAATGGTTGAATGATGGAATAATCAGGGTAAGTTTTTCGGAATATGCTAGTCCACTAGTTTCGATGAAGAAGAAGGATGGCACTACCCGTGTATGTGTAGATTATAGACAGCTCGATAAGAAAATTTTGAAAGACGAATATCCATTGCTGATTATTGATGACCTTATTGACAGATTATCATAAGCAAAGGTTTTCAGTGTGCTCGACTTACAGAATGGATTCTTCCATTTAAAAATAAGTAAGGAATCAATCAATTACACATCTTTCGTTACCCATCATGGGCATTTTGAGTTTCTGCGAGCACCATTTGGGCTTTCGATCAGTCCAAAATATTTTATGAGGCTTGTTAACGTGATCTTTCGGGAACTGCTAGCCCAAAAGATAATAATGATATTTATAGACGATATTATAATTCCAGCAGTAGATGAAGAACAAGCATTGCAGCGCTTGAAGCAGGTTTTGGAAATAGCTGCACAGTACGGATTGAAGGTTAACTGGAAGAAAGCCGAGTTGATACAACCAGAAATAGAATATTTGGGACATGTAATCAGGAATGGTGAGGTACGGCCAACTCCAGAAAAGACTGACGCAGTCATGAAATTTCCAGAACCCAAAACAAATAAGCAACTTCAAAGTTTCTTGGGGTTAACCTCCTATTTTAGGAAATACATTGAGCACTATGCTATTATTGCAAAACCTCTATATGACTTGCTGAATAAAGGTGTTGATTTTATTTTTGATAAAGATCAAAGAGAGGCTTTTATTAGGTTAAAAGAGAAGTTGTCTAAAGGGCCGGTTTTAAAGATATTTGATCCGAAACTTGGAATTGCATACTGTGATGCCTCAAGTACAGCGATTTTATATATATATATATATATATATATATATATATATATATATACCAAAACAATTAGAAAAAGAAATAATAATGAGAATCCATAGCAATGGACATTTTTCAAAGAGGAAAATGAAGGAACTAACAAATCGAGATTATTATATAAAGGATTTAGACAAGAAGTTAGAAGAATTTGTGATTGCCTGCATACAATGTTTATTAGCTACGAGGAAAGAGGGTAAACACGAAGGATTTCTCAACCCTATTAGAAAGGAATGCCTACCCTTGGATACCCTGCATGTTGACCATGTTGGACCACTGACTGAAACTCGCAAGCAGTATAATTATATTCTTACAGTAATTGATGCTTTCACCAAGTTTGTGTGGTTGTTTCCAACTCGGAGTACGTCGAGTGCAGAGACACTGAACAAACTAAGAATACATCAGCAGTCATTTGGAAATCCGATCAGGCTGATAACAGATAGAGGGACTGCATTTACAAGCCAGAAATTTGAAGAGTATTGCAAGGAAGAGAATATCCAGCAAATCACCATCACCACAGGTATACCAAAAGGAAATGGACAGGTGGAAAGAGTACATAGAATAATAATTCCTATGCTGACCAAGCTTTGTATTGAAAACCCTGGGGTGTGGTACAAATATGTTAGTAGAGTCCAAAGAGCATCGAATAGCACCTTTCAGAGGAGTATTAATACTGCACCTTATAACTTATTAATTCGTACTAAGATGAAGTGTAAAGAAGACATCGAAATTTTGGAATTACTTCCAGAAGAAACAGCTAGATAGTATGCTAGTAACAGAGAAAAGTTACGCCAAAAAGCAAAAGAACAAATCCTAGCTGTCCAAGGGGAAAACAAAAAATATTACAACAGAAAAAGGAAAGAGAGTTGGAAATATAAAGAAGGTGACCTAGTTGCCATCAAGCGAACACAATTTGGTTCCGGCTTAAAACTAAGGGCAAAGTTCCTTGAACCTTATCGAGTTACCAAAGTTCACTCGAACGACCGTTATGATGTTGAAGCAATGCAGAAGGTCTAACCGCACTTCCAGCTCAGCTGACAATATAAAGAAATGGCCAGAGACAAATGTTTTTCATTAAATGGTAGGTATGAAGTATGAACCTGAGAAGAATGATTTGAGATATTGTTTAAGTAGAAATAAGTTTTACTGAGGTTCTCTAATTACATGTGAGTATACTATATTCTAAGGAAAGTTGTATTCGTGATTGAAAGTGGAAATGTAAATTACTAATAGTTACTTATAACTAAGTATTGTATACAACTGCTTACCTGCTGGACCTATGTCGTATGTATAATGCAACTGAGTTTAATAAGGGCTAAATAAAACAAAATGTAATAGAAATTTATTAAGTTTATTCTAAGAAAACATTGTAGACTAATATTGGCAGAATTGCAATTCATATGAAGATGTGTGGAAGTTCATATGTCTGCGGACAGACATGATAGCAGGAATGGCCGAATGTGGGAAATGGAATTGTATGAAAGAGACAGAGGAATGTGAGAGAAAGGGATGAGGAGAGGGGATGCAAGATGGCGAATACAGAGAGAGAAATGACGCGACTTGCGAACGAAGTTTTACTAAAAAAGTAAAATAAAAGTTAAATAAGTGATCCCGTGACTTTTCTTTTGAGTTAGTCCCACAGAAATTAATTCATTTTTTTTTCTTTAAATTTAAATTAAAAATATCTATTGATCAGCAACAGATTAACCTAAAAAAAACTAAATACTGAAATATTTATTCGAATATTTATTCATTATCACTCACTTGCTATTTATTGAACATACTCACTAATGCGCTTACATTTTTTGTCAATGATCTGTACTTTATTTAGACACTAGCTGTGCCCGCGACTTCGTCCGCGTGGAATAGTGACTTTTCGGGCAGCATATTTTGAATTACATATACCGTCGTTTGGGTAGCTAAAATTTATTTTACAGTAATGTTTCTCTGTATGCAATATTTGACGTATGGCCATCGGGGATGAAAGCATACAGGCTCCTAGGATTGCTAACCCGTGACAGAGCCACATACAGCTGACCGTGCGAGAAACAGCTGATACTTAGATCTACACCCACAACTTTCAGTCTTTATTAATTGTCATCGCAAAACATAGGCTGACTGGAAACTGGCCTCGTTTAAAACTAAATGGAAAATTCTTTGGAATGAGAGGAATCCGAGGAATAAAAACACTTTCACCTTTTCCACACCCTGTTAAAATCTCTGCTTCTATCAGATTTCGTTGTAAGTTGGTCACTTTTAACCTGGTGCCATTGCAAAGTTTTGGGGAGCTTAAATTTCTAAGAAGCATTATGGGTACGCCTACTTTTAATTTTACTTTATATGCTGGTGGCCCAGGAGCATTGAGGGATTCTAAAAATTCTACTGCGTAGCTTGTAGATTCTACTCATATACATACAGATACACTCAATATACTCAACATAATCCCCCGGAACATAGCTCAAAATTTTAGCGTTTATTGTTGCTGCTTGGTCGTTTCGTGGCGTCAAAATAGCTCTTTCACAAAGCCAGGAATTTTCGCAAGTTGGTATTTGCGTTGCGTTTCCATACACAGATGATATGAGGTCTCGCATTGATAAAACTATGTTGCATAGATTTTCATTAAGAACAACTTTTCCTTGTTCCTGCGGATACACATCGTTACCAATCTCAAGTAGCAAATCTGAAAATTCTCGAACTTTTTCGTTGCCTTCAATTTGCGCACGCATATTTAATGTCAAATGCAAAGGATAATGTCACACATGCCACAGTCGAGAACTCTTTAGGCAGGCTCTAACTTCATCAGCCCTTGTTCCACATGGTATTACAGGGAGAGTCTGAAGAAAATCGCCACAAAAAAGCATAGTAATGCCACCTCTGGGTTGATCATTTTGCTTGACATCACGCAACGTTCTGTCTACTGCATCTACTGCTTTTCGATTGGCCATTGTGGACTCATCCCATATAATAAGGCTACAATTACGAAAAACCTTAGCTTTATCGTTGTTTCTTGAAATATTACAAACAGGGCTTTAAAATTTGATTCCTACGTCACAACTATGGCAGTTGTTGTTGGGAGCATTACGGTTGAAGTTATAGATATACTAGTACTAGTAAAACTTGCAAACAAATCCTACAACTATCTCCTATTTCCCTTTCTAATTTTTCTGGAAGCTACTGTATTTTTCAAATTTAAGTAAATTACAACAAAATACAAAAAATAAGGCAAGTGTTTCTCTGCAAGACTTGATTTTTATCAATGCCTTGATAAATGCTTCTTAAACTAATCAATTAACGCAATAATAGTTCCGTCGTCATACGTCGCGTGTCCAAGTGTGAATCCCAGGTAAAATAAGTCATTCATTTAGAT